TTATTAAGGGTGTCCTTGACTTGTAGACTAAGGAAAACTTCATACTCTAGTAGTAGTGGAAACTAAGACACTTCAAATTAACAAAACATAGAGGGTTAAACTAAAACACATAATAGAGTAATTTACTTTATGTTACACTATATCTATGTCTTTGCATTGATTGCTGCTTATTTCTACTCAAATCCATACAATTGATCCTTAAAATCCATCAATCGTTCTTTTAAAAAATCAATTTGCCACCACCCTGGAACCATATCCCACCCACTAGCAGCCCATCATAATTCATACTGGGTCAGTTTCAGTGGAACCAATATTAGCAACAGCAAAAATCAATCAAAAATAAATAAAGAAATAATTGATTGAAGGCAATAATAGTGTCATGCTTGAAAAAATTAGGCTAACGTGGCGCCCAGCCAGCGCGAGTGATCAAACCTCGNAATCCTAACTATGCCACGTCATCTTCTCTAAATTATAAAATATTTGATGAACAGTTTCAAGGCCATTTTCTTAAATGCATACTTGGGGGGACCGGGCAGCTAAATTTTCTCCATAATCTGTGCTACTTTAGTCATATTCAATAGAAAACAAATACCCAAATAGTAGCAACTAACAAGATTAGAAAGAGCAATCAACATCATTTCACTGCCTAGAAAACCAAACATCACCAACATTAGATAGTAACTATATATGTTGAACCACAACACATAAAGCATCCAGCAGTAAACGATTATATAGCAGTAGCCTTGATCTAACATATCTAATTAAATAGTTCAGCAACATAATCTGAATTATGGGGAAGAAAATCTAGAGATTTTCAGAATGACATCCATCACACAATGTGTCCACAGGCCAAGCTAAAAGGTTATCATTAATGTGTGCACCAGAGACCAAGCAAGACGAAAACAAACTCTCTAAATTTTGCAATTCTGAACAAAGCAGTGTTATTGTCTTCCATTGCTGGTCAGTTTGAACTTCTTTCATTACTTGGTTACCTTCCTCCTACAAGTGAGTAATGATCATGTTAAACCTATCCCATAAAGAATATCTCCTTATATGATGAACAGAGGAAACTTTCTTCTGCTGTAGAATAACCCATCCCAAATTTAGAAACTCCCACCCCCTGAGTGTCATGACTTGATATAGTAATTAATTCTTGAGTACATGTGACAATTTTTCCATGTCTGGTGCTATAAAACTGATTTGAGGAAAATAAACCCATGGCTGCTGCAAATTAACTCAGCTCCCTCTTGAATACTATGAATCAGTTTCAGATTGAATTTGAACAAATTATAGTGAATTAGTCTGATCACATATATGTTTTACTTTTCTTGCTTGCTTTAATTTCTATTTGATTGTAAGACTAATTTATTAAAAATTATACATGATTGATTATTGTGGTCAACTATAAAAATATTTAACTCCCCACTTCTATGTATAAATATATGCAGGCTCTAAGGAAGGAAGAAGCATTTGCAATTGATAGCTAATACTAACAAGCAATGAAGAAAAGAACGGCCATCATTGGAGCTGGTATTAGTGGTCTTCTTGCCTGTAAGTACATTTTGTCCAAAGGTTTCCATCCAACTGTTTTTGAGTCATAAAGTTGCATTGGGGGAGTATGGACAACAAAGCTACAAACTCCAAAATCTTCTCTAATTTTCCATGACCCTCTTTAGTCATAAATGTTTAAGTAATGCATGGTGTAATTGTTTGATTGTTGTTCATGTTTTAATTTTGGCATGATCTGCTTGGGTTAATTTGAGCTACTTGATTTTTTGTCGTTGGATTTTGGCCTTATTTGTTTCGGTAGACAGCAGTTGTGCATGATAGATTTGTTTGTGTTTTTACTTGTTTTTGTTCTCTATCTTAATTTTTATATGTTATAGCTATATTTCTAATTTCTGATCATCTTTTTGTTTTGTTATTGAAAACCATGGTGTATCCCTTTGTCTGTTTACACTTTTTCAGAAATCAGAATGGTGAAGCATGGAGGAGGAAATTGTCAAAGATGTAACTCAACAAATACAATTGAAGATTTATGTAACATTTAGGAGCTGTAACATAAGCATCTTGGAAATTGCTTCTGTTTTTTTATATATCGTCCTTGTAAACATATTTCGCTCTACTAAATACATAGTTTCTGTTTATTTGTAACTCAAAAAGAATTTCATTACAAATTATGTTCTTTTGTATGAATGATTTCTTTTAAATAATGAAGAATTTCAACTACAAACTAGCAATTTTATTCTGCCACTTTCTTTGTATATATTCACTTAAAAATTTGCTACCAAAACAGGGACAAATTGGTCATTTGTTGTGTCTCATTTTTTAAAAACTCATAGAGACAAACTAGTCATTTCACTAGCTTATAATAACTTGATGTCATAATCATAATTCACCATAATGATGTAGGTATTTACGTAATTGAGTTGACTAAAATTAATAAAAAACTAAGATTTAAACTTCAAAAAAATGAATAATAACTAATGGGCCTGAGCCCTAAAGTCCATACGAACTTCTGTAAACCTATTTCTTTTTTGTGATTTTAATCCCTCTCTGCAAAATCAATAACCCCATGTCTCATTTCTTCTCTACCAACTCATCACTACTGCAAACCACTAAGCGACACCACCCCAAAATGAACCCCAACCAACCCACACTCCCCCGGGGCCCCGGCGGCGGTAAACTGAACCTTTTCCTTTTTTGTTCCTTCTTTGTTTTTTAAATTACTATTCTCGTTTTTATAGACTAAAAGTTAATTATCTATTATCCCTCTCTTTCTCTGTCTACAAAATTCAAAACTCTCTAACGGATGCATTTCCCTCTTTTCTCCTCTTCTTGTCTCCAATGCCCTAAATCTCAACAATCTTCGCCCAAATTAACAAACCCTACTGTCTCTTCTCTCTCTTTAGTTTATTGATCGAAATGAAGCACTTCATGCAGCCAAGAAACACAATCTTGAGGGAAGTGAGTCGCCATCTCCAAACCCTAATTCAAAATTAAAGTCAATGCGAAACCAAAAATCTTCCAAGATTAAGAGTCCGCTGCCCTTACGCCCGCCCAATCCACTCAAGCGCAAACTCGCCATTGATACACTTCTCGAGAACATAATGGTTGGGGTCCCCAACTCGGGTGTTCAAGTGATTGTTTCAATTTTCTCTTTTCAGTGGTTATTTGATATTATCTTTTTTAAATTTTGACAGAATTTGGGGAAAAAGTGACTCAAGCTTGAGAAAATGTAAATTTTAAAGTTTTGTTTAGCTTCTGTTTTGTTACTGAGGGGACAAGTGAGAAATTGTTGAGTTTCTTTTTGTTCTATATTAGAAGAGAGTGAGAAATTGGAAATTTGCGTACATGGTTAACAGTAAAAGGATAATCAGGTAATATATTGCTGATATTCTTGAATGTTGTTAAGTAGCTTTACTGCCCAACTGTATACAGATTAGATTCTAATGTCTCTAGTTTGGATAGTGTAGATTAGGTGATAGTCCGAATGCGACCTGTAAATAAGGTAGAGGAAGAAGGGAAGATGATAGTACAGAAAGTTGGCAATGATGCTTTGGAAATCAATGGACAGACATTCACATTTGATTCAGTTTCTGACATTGATTGACATTGATTCGACACAGGTATTATCTTTTTTCTACTTGACTATTTGCATTATTACCATAAGGTGCTCAAATATAGGTTTGTTTTGCAGTTGGATGTTTTCCAGCTTGTTGGACTCCCTCTCATTGAAAATTGTTTAGCTGGATTTAACAGTTCAGTGGTTGCCTATGGGTAGGTACCTTTTATCTTGCTTTTGATTCCTCTAATCTCATATTTTATTTTACATGTAATTGTGCCATTAGCTTTCTTCATATATCTGAAAAATTGATTACACCAGACAGGGGAGTGGAAAGACTTATATACCATGTGGGGACTAGCTAACGCCTTGCTGGAAGAAAACTTATCAATTGATCAACAAGGCTTAACTCCCCGTATTTTTGAGTGACTCTTTTCCCACATAAATGAGGTGAGGTTCAAGTTTTTCAGGATTCAACTTGTCGAGGTATTAATCCTTTGCATTTTCATGATATTAACCCCTTGTACTCTCTTTGTAGAAACAAATCAAGCATGCTGAAAAGAAGCTAAATTTAATGGTACTATTACTGATCAAAAATTACACGAACACTTCTAAAGATCTCTCTAACTTGAGATCTTTAAAAGTGTGCATGTAAATTAAATGGTATCATTCTAATTTAATGAAGCCCTCACTATTCGAACTGAGTCGAACTATTATCAACTAAGAACTTAATGAAGCCCTCACTATTCGAACTGAGTGGAAGCAATTCAGAGGGCATCATTATATAACCGTATCCTATGATTACATGATCTGAATCTGATTCAATAACCACATTGGCTCGAAAATGACTACAGAGTGAGCCCAAAAATCAGCTTCTCGTTAACAAAAATGTTAAGTCAAACTTCGAAAGCATTGCTGCTCCACCTTTGTGTGTGTGGAGATGATAAAACGGCACACGCAGCGAAACCAATTAAGTTATCATTGAGGCAACCTGGTGGAAGCTTTATAAAATTTTCACTACTTATAAAGTTAAACTAGTCTGAAATTTCTCTTAATTAATTTATTTTCCTTTGTCTAACAAATTTTTCAAAACCTAATTCCTAATGACAAGTGTTGAGGAGTATTTTTGGGCTGGGACAGATGGCTTATTGTAGTTGGTCAGGAGGGAAATTGTGCTATGATGAGAGTAAGAATAGAATAAAAAGAAAGGAGAGAAAGAGAACTGTTTTATCGAGAAAATTATACAAAATATAGTTCATAAATTGTTAGTTGCTTTTTGATAAATTGTTGCTCCTCGTTTTCATTTGTGGTTGGGTGGGATTGAATACTGACATAATCTTTTCAATTTTTCTTTTATTTATTGCAAAGATAATAGGAAAAAAAGATAAGTAGACATGAAAAATATTTTAATTTTAAAGAAATTATTAAATGAAGATTTGACAAATAAATATCACACTAAATAAATAAAATTTAATTCAATGTTTGAGTCCACTTACTGTAGCCTTTTTACATACAATCATCATTAGAGCCATTTATAGATTTCAATCTCTAGTCTCTGTCCACTCTTGCATCTGTTCACAAATCATTACCTTTGGCGTACAACAATTTGACTCCACACTTTTTCAACTTGCCCGGAGGAAAAGGATCATCAAGTGAGAAGAAGTTAACAAAACCTTCGCTATTCGAACTGAGTGTAAGCAATTCAGACAAAATTATGAACTCGAATCCTATGCTTACATAATCAAAATCTGATTTTAAAACATAATTGTGTGAATATTCATTATAGAGTGCCATGTCCCGGAAAATGGGCTTCTTGTCAACAAAAAGATCAAATGTAGGTGCGACAGCATTGGATCTCAAATATCCATTCGGGAATGGAGATGATACAACGCACAAAGCGAAACCGATTACGTTATCATTGAGGCAACCCGTTGGAAGCTTTATAAAACTTTCACTACTTATAAAGTCAAACCAATCTGAAATTTCGCTTCCAGGGTAAAATATGGTACCACGTACATAGGAACCATGTAAATGGCGTTGTACCTCTAACATGTCGGATTCTCTTTCCTGTATCAAGAAGATCATCAAATTGCAATATCCCTTTGATATATATGTACAAATGGAGAGAGACATAATATGGGTGTGATTGTACCGGATAAAACGAGTGGGTGTAAACAAAGATTTGAGAGTAAGCATTACACAATCTCCAAAGCTGTTATCTGGGAAAAAGAAAATATATTCTCTATTTTTATACTAACTATGGAACTTGAACCGGTCAAGGGACAGTCTAGTTTTAAAAACATTGGGCACTACAAGAGTAAGGGTAGGACTATTTGCAGTCAATAAAGTATTCTTGACTGTCATTTGTTAAGCACACACATCGTTAAAAGTACAATATAAAAAAAATCAGTATATTGGTGTTTAATAATTTTTAGTAAAATTTAATAAAAAAATCACTTTTAATATTATATTATGTGTGAACTGCTTTAATAATTAAAAATTAATAAAATAAATCAATAAAAATCTCTTATTGTGTATTTGATTTGACTACAGTTAATCAATAAATCATCTCTTGAGAAATCGATAGCTTAATATTAGAAAACTATTTTTTTAAAAGAAAAAAAAATTAATATCATATGAAAAGAGAGAAAGTGAGAGAGAGAGAGACTTACCTTACTGTGAAACCATGTAACTGCATCACTCTGAATATTGAGTAGAGCCTTTGCATGTAATTTCAGTTTGTAACAATTGTTGAAGTTAACAGTCACCCAATCCCACATACCTTTGACACGAGTTGGTACACTTGATAATTCTTCAAGTGAAATGCAGCCGCATGCTTCTAGAGATGTTAACTTGTGTGGAAGCTCCGGTAAGGATTTAAGTCTCTGGCAATCGGATAAATCAAGCCATGTCAATTCAGAGAGATCTTTAATAGTCCCTGGAAGACTCTCAAAATTGTTTCTTCCTATCGATAATTCTTCCAGACAACGTAATTGGCCGATATTGCTGGTTAACTCTTTGATAGAAGAGTGAGATAGATCTAGCTCCACCAGTTTGTTCAAGAAAGATGAATCATGCGGTAGCAAACTCAGTGGATTCTCAATCGTACATCTCGCCAAAGAGAGTCTCTCAAGGTTGTTCAAACAAGCTATAGACGGTGGTACTTCTCTTACAGAAATTCCCTCGAGTTTAAGTTCCACCAGTGCTGTTAAATTTCCCAAGCCTTCAGGCAATCTGTCAAGTTTTGAACTATCTGAAAGAGAAAGATATTCAAGAGATTTACACCCGCGAATACTCTCAGGGAGATTCTTAAGCTCCGAACAGTTCTCAAGACTCAAAAATCTTAGTCTAGATAGATGCTCTAGTGATGGCAATTCTTCAATTGCAGCTCCATCTAAGTCCAACTCTTCTACTGCACAAGGGATATATGAAATTGATTTCAAATTTGAGCAATCAGAGAGAATAACTTCCCGAAGAGATCTACACTGCGGGCTGATTGAAAGCATGTCCATGTTTTTGCATCCTCGTAGATTCAAGACAACAAGATTATCAAGATTGTGGATAGAAGAGAAAATGTTATGCAGATTTCCACAACCTTTCAGAATCAAGCTCTCAAGATTTGGAATAAGTGAGAGATCTGGCATTCTGCATAGATGCTTGGAGTCACTGAGGTCAATATGTTTCAAATTAACAAGATTCTGTTCCTGTAACAAAAAAGAAAAATTAAATGAATTNTTACAAGATTTTCATGATCACTCAGTATCTTTCATCTCTCCACTCTTTCTTTCAACTTCAAATTATTGGCTCTCGTTTTCTTTTTTTCTTTTTTCTTTCCAAGTAGATCAAAAAGACCTTTAATTTTTCGCCTAGGACCATCTCCTCAGTCTAAAACAATAATCTAACTTAGATATAATTAACAAAATATTATATAGTTCAATCAATGATTAGTGCTAAATTAATTAAAACGAAGAATCCAATCTATGAATTTAATAATATGATTATGCACAGTTTGATCACTTTTTTGTAATTATATTTTCAATCAATAATATTGTCGTTGTTTCTTCTAAGAAAACAAGTCAAATGAAAAACAAAAAATGAGAAGAAAGTAAAAGTATTATGCATACAAAAGAGATAATAATAGCTATTAACAGTTACCTAATGACATTTGAATCAAAGCCGGATAGATTGGCAGCTTTTTTCAGAGCAACCCTCCATCTCTGCAACATTTCCTGCCCACCCTTAAACCGCTCTTCATGCTTAGCAAATGCATCCTGAAAAGTCCCACTCTGACTCCTGACATCTGAGGGATCTATATTATAGAAGACTGGCATTACAATCTGACCAGACTTGTCCATACATTCAAGAATCTTTTCAAGTTCTTCAAGGCACCATCTCGAAGAAGCATACCCTTCCGAGAAAATGATCAATGAAATCTTTGACTGCTCAATTGCATTCAAAAGAGATGGAGAAATTGGATCCCCTCTTTCAAGCTCTTCGTCATCCTTGAATGCATTGATCTGTTTTTGACACAAGGCAGCATACAGATGGGAAGTAAAATTATAGCGGGTATCCGCACCTCTGAAACTAAGGAAAACATCGTACTTTTCTTGAGGAGAAGCGGAAGAAGAAGCAACAGCCATTAAGTTACAGTGATGAGAATTACTTGACGTTAACAAAAACATAAAGAGCTAAACCAGGACATCATATAATAGAGTCTTTGCAGCAATGTCTAAGCATTCAACTTATCTCCTTTCCTAGAAGATGCCTTTTTTCTTTTTCTTTTTTGACTAGACTCATAATTGCAACCCCAACAAACAAACAAGTAATAAGCAATTAATATCTTTTTCTTTTTTACTTGACTCAGAAATGCAGTCTGAATGAGCAATTAATGGGCTGTTTCTCTGCATTTTCCCTGGAAGATGCTTGCCTTTTTCTTATTTTTCCTGACTCATTGGGCCGTGAACATTGGGTGTGATTGTGACACTAATTTAATATAAAAAATTTATGAAATATAGTGGGAATAGTTGGTTTGCAAAGTAAAAAAGTGATCAATAGTTAAACGAATTTCCTCCACACCTATTTTTAGTAAATTTCCTTTAAGTAAAGTGATGGAAAAGTGTGTTCCTCCTTCTACTTTTGCCCTAAAAGTCTTTCTTTTATATTTAGCACCTTATTAAATAAACTGATTCAATTTCTTTGAATGGGCATGTCTCTTGTTCTATGTTCCAATGCCCATATTTTGTGCTTTTTTAGTGATTCATCCCTAAAAACCCATATCAGTTAGCCTTAAATAAAACCTATTTTAACAAACTCTACTCTACTTAAGAACATAACAGAACAAAACACTCTTATAATGATATAATGGTATGTTACAAACTTACAATAGTATTAAAGAGCAATCAACATTATTTAACTACCCAAAAAACCAGACATCTCCTACATTAACATACTTGCAGCCTTCATCCAACATACATAATTAAACTATATTCCGACAAGATAATTAATCTGATTTTCGGAAAGAAAATCTAAAGAAATTTAAAAAATGACAACCACTGGGTTGTATCTCATAAACACCCTAATTGGGTTAAATACAATTATATAGGTTATTTTAACCTACTCCACTATTTAAATTATTTTAATCCCTTATATTTGATCATTTAACTAAATATCTCCTACAATAAAAGTTTATAAATTAACAAAAACACTTTTATCCACCCGATCGACTTCCGACAACCGGCCACCACCATCGGATGGTGGCTGTTAGTCCCCAAATGGTGCACGACTAGTAGTGGCAACGNCTAGATTGCCCACTATTTGCTGTTAACTTTGTCTCAGTAATCATCAAATTGAGATGGAGCTCAACATTTTCAAACATGAAATCAAAAATTTAGAAACTGGGTTTTCACTAGAAGTGATGTAACTAAGTGGGTTTCGAAAATGGAGTGGGAATAAGTGAAAGATATTAACCAACTTTTTCTTGGAAGATGCGTTATTGCCTTTGTAACTTTTTGACTTGACTCTGAAATGCAATCTCAATGAGCAATTAATGGGCTGTTTATCAGCATTTTCCCTGGAAGATGCTTGCCTTTTTCTTATTTTTCCTGTCTCATTGGGCCGTGAACATTGGGCAATGGGTGTGATTGTGACACTAATTTAATATAAAAAATTTATGAAATATAGTGGGAATAGTTGGTTTGCAAAGTAAAAAAGTGATCAACAGTTAAACGAATTTCCTTCACACCTATTTTTAGTAAATTTCCTTTAAGCAAAGTGATGGAAAAGTATGTTCCTCCTTCTACTTTTGCCCTAAAAGTCTTTCCTTTATATTTAGCACCTTATTAAATAAACTGATTCAATTTCTTTGAATGGGCATGTCTCTTGTTCTATGTTCCAATGCCCATATTTTGTGCTTTTTTAGTGATTCATCCCTAAAAACCCATATCAATTAGGCCTTAAATAAAACCTACTTTAACAAACTATACTCTACTTAAGAACATAACAGAACAAAACACTCTTATAATGATATAATGGTATGTTACAAACTTACAATAGTATTAAAGAGCAATCAACATTATTTAACTACCCAAAAAACTAGACATCTCCTACATTAACATACTTGCAGCCTTCATCCAACATACATAATTAAACTATATTCCGACAAGATAATTAATCTGATTTTCAGGAAAGAAAATCTAAAGAAATTTAAAAAATGACAACCAATGGGTTGTATCTCATAAACACCCTAATTGGGTTAAATACAATTATATAGGTTATTTTAACCAACTTTACTATTTAAATTATTTTTACCGTTAATTTAACTAAATATCTCCTACAATAAAAGTTTATAAATTAACAAAAACACTTTCATCCACCCGATCGACTTCTGACAACCGGCCACCACCGTCGGATGGTGGCTGTTAGTCCCCAAATGGTGCACGACTAGTAGTGGCAACGACAATTACTGGTGACAGCGGTGGTGGTTGATGGCAAGTGATAGTGGTTGAAGTGGGTGAGGGTATTTTCGTTAATTTATATATTTTTATTATGAAAATAATTATTAAATATTTTAAGTTAAATAGAATAAGATTTGATTTCGAATTAAATAATCAATATTAAAATAAATATATTTTTTACTAAATTAAATTTTTAATTAAATAGTATATAACAATCCTAATAATACAATATCTCATGAATCAAACGCTATCTTTTAAAAGTTTTGGACGGTGAACATTAGGTGAGTTTTCACTTTTATCTCCTTTCCATGAAGATGCCCAACCTTCTTCCCTTTAGCTTCCATCTCTTTTCTTGGAAAACACCCCGCCTTTTCCTTTCTGATTTGACTTAGATTTATTGGGTGGTGAACATTAGGTGTGATTTTTACAATAATTTAATATTTTCATTTTTATCATCTGCTTTACTTCTAAAACTTTTATAGCTCTTAATCATATATGGGTTAGGTGAGATTAATTTTTAAAACACTAGTTATTATATAATTTACTTTAGGTGTGATTTTTATTTAAACTAATAAATCCTTTCTTTTCATTCACCACTTTGTGTAATGAAAAAATTAATTCAATTTCTTTGAGGAATCATTGGCAATTTGGCATATTGTCTTCCTTTATGTTCCAAAATATAATTTTTGTATATTTGAGAGACTATAATGGGAATAACCCTAACATAGCGCCAACGGAAGTTGAAGGAGTGGAATGTTTGTGTTAACCTAATATCTATATGCTTTTGAAATGTTGAAACTTGAGAGGACATTTGTGTAATTTAATACAATTTCTCCCCAAGTTTTTCTTGAATAAAATGTTCACCTTTTAAGTACCTAAAATAACAATTTACCTCCTATCATTAATGTTTTAATATACTTTTTATCGTCTAAGTAAAACATATTACTATTAATCCCGCTAAATTAAACTGCAAAAACTCTAACTGATGATGACAAAAGGAAAAATTGTTATTACAAATACCTTATGAGGAAATTTATAGAGTCCTCAAGGTGAAATTTTATTAAATCCAAAACCAAATTATAAAATTATGGTTGTGAGACTGTCTAAATAAAAATAAGGGTTTAAACCAATTACCTCTCTTGTGGTTTTCGAAATTGACAAGTTTGTCCCTGGTTATGCAAATTATCCAACCCCCTCCCTGTCGTTAGTTTTTTCCATTAAATCTATATTGTTCATTGATTTTGACCACTAAATGACAATATTACCCTAAATTTTTTTTTTTAAATTCAAAAGAAAAGCTTAAAAATTATGTTAAATTAATAAAAACATAAATATAATCATTAAAAAAAAACCCAAAAGTTTTAAAATTATGTTAAATTCATAAAAAAAAAAAGGGGGGGAAAAATAATTAAAAAAACCTGCCAAGTTCAAAAATTTCTTAAAATTTATATTAATTTTTGGCCTTTTAAATTGTTTTTAAAAAGTTTTGTTCTATGTAATTTTATGAATTTATTATGTTAAGTTACTTAAAAATAAAGATATTTCTATTAATTTTGTGAAACTCAGTTTTAGGGGTAATTTGGTCATTGCATAAATCTATTTGCCACCTCCCTACGACCACATCCCACCCACTAGCAATGAAATTTGAATCTTACAATACAGAACCAATACTAACAGCAGCAAATATCTATCAAAATAAATAAAGAATTAACTGATTAAAGCCAATAACAGTAAATTGGGTTTTACATACCTAGTCTTCACTCTCGCTCTTTCTCATAGACTAGGCCTGATAAAATTGAACAAATGGAGATTCATGCTTGATAATGTGATTAAAAACAATACAAATTGGCGCCAACGACCAGTTCCTCCATCCCATTTCCCTGACGTTTTAGTGCCTTTCTCACTACTAAAACACACGAGCCGTCATGTCATGCGATTCCATCAGACTGATTCGGCTCTCCAGTCCATCGCTTGACCATGTCACGTGCTCATCACATCTTATGATAAGTCGAAAAACATTTTAAACTTCCAGGTTTGGTAATAGTATGATTAAGGATGTTCAAAACCGATTAATCGATTTGTGAACTAAACCAGTTTTTCAATTCAAGAATTTTTCTAAATTGAAACTGAACTAATTAAAGGGAAAACTGGTTTTGAACACCCAAAAACTAGTTTTGAACCAGTTTTAATTTAATATTTTATATATTTTTATAATAAAATGGATTTTTTTTTATATTTTAATTTAATATTTTTATAATAAACCGGTTTATAAAACCAATTTTGGTTAACCAATTCTCATATTTTCGTAAACCGATAACCGAACGAAAAAATTGGTTTTTGTATTTCTTTGAACCGAAACTAAACCGGTTTTTCAGATAACCGAAAAACTGGTTCAGTTTGATTTCTGTATTTTTTTTAACACCCCTAAGTATGATAGGTCCCAAGGTTCTATAACATAAGTCTTTTTAAAACAATCAATAACGGGGTTTTGCTACAATAGATTGCTTCAATAACACAACAAATGAAACTTGTAAAACAAAAACGTAAAACTTGTGATATGCACTTTTACATTATATTATATAGCCACAGCATAGCCATAGAAAGAAAGCAAACTAATTAAGCAAATACAAGAAAACAAAGTAGCCTTAGAAGACAGATAACTATTTCAGACATAATTGTCCTCAAATGTCTATCAAATAACCATTATCCAGACCTCATATGTTTGAGAATTTAGCTAAAACACTCCAAT